GACACCATCGGGACAGTGCCAATGATCGCCATGCGGCTCGCATTTGCCAGGGGCGGATCCAGACCCAGTCTTGGTAGCACCGGCCGGCGGAGTTGAGGGCTCAGGAACACCGGGTGGGCAGTGCCAATGGTCGCCATGGGGCTCACATTGACCGGAGCCCGATCCAGGCTTGGAAGTCTGTGTGACAGCAGGGGGTGGCGCGGAGGGCTCTGAGACGCCTGGCGGGCAGTGCCAGTGGTTGCCATGGGGTTCACATTCCCCCGACGAGGAGGTCGATGCGGGAGGCGCCGTAGTAGCACCAGGCGGCGGGGTCGAGGGCTCAGACACTCCAGGAGGGCAGTGCCAATGGTCCCCGTGCGGCTCGCATGCCCCGGGCGAGGTTGATGTTGATGGGGCCGGCGCCGTGGTGGTGCCAGGCGGGGGCATTGTTGGGTATGGGACGCCCGGTGGGCAATGCCAATGGTCACCATGGGGCTCGCAAGTGCCGGTTGCCGACGAACTAGGAAAAGCCGACGAACCAGGAGGAGTGGTCAACGGAAGTGGTTCGCAGTGCCCTTGGCAAGAATGTTAGCATTTCACACATGATGATTTGGGTGGCGTGGAGTCCCACAATGGTCGCCATGCGGTGAGCACAGTGATGCTGATGGAGAGGGCGGCAGCGTCGGCGTAGTCGTCGGCGGGCAAGAGGTGATGGTGGTCACAGAGGTGGTGAAAGAATACCCAGCGCTAGACAAAGCGGCAGAGTTGTAATAGACAGTAGCCGTCACCTTGTCGCCATTGCCGAATGTAGCGGTTGTGGTGTAGACCGGAATACTGGGGCCCGAGAAGCGCACACCCGACGTTGAATAGACACTGTTCATGGAGCTGCGCCAGGACTGATAGTCGGTAACGGAGGTGGCGATGCCATAGCGCGTGGAAGTGTGGGTGGCGCAAGGGGCAACGCAGTCCCAGTGGTTTCCATGGAGACTACAGTGAAACACTCAGTTCTGAGCTCCTAAGAAATAGCTCCTCGTACCTTATGAGGGTCTCACTTACGTGCAGTCAAGCCCAGTGGGCGACGGCGGTAACCCCTGCGGCAGAGCGATGGCGGGTCTGACACGGCCCAATGTTGCTGCGAGGAGCAGCAGGTGCCCGAGATTGGACATGTTGGAACTCGGCGATGCAAAAAGAGATTGGCCTTGCAGCTTGACGGATTCCAACGCTCAAGATGCCGGCGAAGGTGAAGAAGGAAACCGGAGGCTCAAGTCGTCTGTTCCGTTGTGCCGTGGTGCCCTCGAGATGCCCGTCTTATAAGAATTCGCCTGACCGTGGTCACCGAGGCAGGAATCCAACTTTATGCTTTTGCTCCCCCCAGTGAGCGTGAGTTCTTGAGCTTGTCGACAGCACCAACAACGCCAAACTTGGCGTGCCATCACGGTTCTCGAACTCTTCCCGTCTGTCGATTGGCCGGCCGCATCGGAGAGGAGCCTGTTCTTGGCTACTACAGTCCACATCGTATGCTGCCAAGAAGAGGGCTTTCGATAGTATCTGTCAGGCTCCTTGGAGACGAGAGGTTGTTTGCGGTGCCAGAACTGGGAAGACGCACAAGGATGGGAAGGCAGGAAGGTAGCGGGTGGTGCCTGCAAGGGGCCAAAAAAGTCACCTGCCCTAAGCGAGGGGGCGGCCATCAAGGTACTCACAAAGCTCCCGGCCATACGCTCCTTCCCCCACGCCGTTGCTCTGCTGTCACGTTAGGGTTGCTTTGGAAACCGCGGCTTCGGTTTAGGTTGATGAATTTCTTGAAACTACTGCAACTCTGGCACTCTGCGAGCACTACGACTGGACCATCATGGGCATGTGTCTGGGACCTTGATGAGCCATGTGGAAGCATTGCGTCCGACTGACGGAGACGGCGTGAGGACAGGAAGCTGCAGGAATGATGGACGACTCGAAAGATAAAAGGGTGCTGTCTGCTCGCCCCTGAGCAAAGGAGAAGAGACATCAATGCCCGAGTCTCATTCAACGATTCTCAACAAATATTATCACAAGTTCTCAGCCGCCTCATCCCGCGCAATTTTCAGCCCATCGCACCGGCAAAATGGTTACCACCAAGATCCTCGTCGCCGCCATGACCCTGGTTCTCCAAGTTTCCGCTGTCCCTTCCACCCTGAAGCGCCAGGAGTGCGGCACCGAGTACGCCGAGCTCGTTCTCAACGGCCCTTGCGTTGGCGGCCAACTTGCCTGCGAGTTCTGCTGCCCGCAAAGCTACGATGCGACGGCCACCATTGACCACTGCCACGCTGGCCACGCGCCTTACAACTGCGCGAACGGCTATAAGGAGTGGCATTGCGAAGAGCACCAGCACTAGGCGGTGGCGGAAGCAAGGTGCGTTGGTACGGCCAGTTGGGAGTGTTTCCGTTGCTGATCGAGATGTTGCGCGACAGCTTTTACCGGCAGCCACGAACCACATGCCGTCCCTCCATTGTCAACACTGTCAAGACAATGGCGCAGGTTCAACACACTGCTTTGATGATTGGGGAGCGTCAAATTAGGTTCGAGACTTGGGGTTTCCATGGAAACGTTTCATTTTTGTCCATTCGCTATGTCAACAGTCTGAATAAAAGTTGGCGGGCATGGCTTGACCGCTGACTATGCATCACTCTTCGCTCCCGGTTCCCATATCTGATGTGTGTGCCATATGCGGTGTCGTTTTCGAATCTGATGCTGACTTTCCTTCAACCTTCTCAAAGTCCTGGTTTACTCAAGAGGATGAACCTTGAGAGATGGGACTTTGCGTCTAGTACTGGGATAGGAAGCTGTCAAGTAAGACCGCATATAGCAAGGTGAGGTCCTAATCTTGTAAGAAAGACTTTGTGTGAACCCTCCTGACGAGCTTTTCTTACCATAGAACCCCTTACTAGCTTGTTGTTGAGTGTCAGTGACTAAGGAGTTCTTCATGAATTAATGTCAGCTGGTGATGGCTAGTCTACTCTAGTCCGTCAAGGTAGGTAGCCATCAGCTGCAGCAACAGTCCTCAACAAGCTGAAGCCAAGGCTGACACCTCAAGGTCAGGTCTTGTACACCTGTGTACAGATCAAGCTATGAGGTAATTGAGAATCTGTAGCTGTCTATTCGCGCCACCTTTTTTTTTTTTTTTGTGTTTTGTTTTTTGGGTGTGTGGCCCTGTGCCGGGTCCCCCGCGTGTACGAGGCCCAAGCCATCAAGGTTCTCAATCTCCTCCCTGTCAGCTAAAGGTATTTCTACTCACCGTCTTGGCGCGTCCACCCATCCTTCATCCGCGCCTCTTACAATCACAGAACTTGGGGCTATTACTCGCGCAGCGCCGAGACCTGGCATCCCACGTTTCTTATGAACCATTGGCACAAGGCAGCGGTTGGTGGCGGCGGTTGTCGGTGTGATGAGCTATTCGGAAACAAAACCTGAAAACGAGCGGCAATGTCTCCGAGCTGTCCACACCCTCAAAGTACCTTAAGGTAGTCCGGCCTGACTTGGCCAGCGTGTGCGGTCGTATTCAGGGTCAGTACGGATATCTGACCACCAAGGTTGACACTTGACAGTCCTTGTTATTCAGACATCAAAACAGGAAGGCAAAAATAGGGAAAAATCAAAGAGGACTCGGCAAGGAGAGGGTGGGGGGTTGAGAGACGCCCAGCATGCCAAAGGATCTGGGCAACACGGTGCCGCGCAAGGATGCATGTCCACCTGTCCACCAAGGTTCACCATCACGCACCTGTCGGTTGTCGCAGTTTCGGCGTTACTTGGAAAGGACTCGATATAACAATGGTTGCTCTCCAGCTGGCTGCTGGCTCCTGAATCTGTATTCAGCCATTCTAGTCTGGCAAGCAGCTCGCCGTCATTTTCAGTGTTTGTTGCCACTCTAAGGAGCAAGTTGCGCCCAGGATGCGTTTTCAAAGTACTTTAGGGCACTATGCCCTTTCCTTCGCCGTGCTGACGGGCACGGCTGGAGCCACTGCTGGTGTGACCTCTCCGCCAGAGAGAATCAGGAGACAGGCGTCAATCACAGCTGTGAGTGCATGCCATATGCACCAGACGGTTCAGTAAGCGCTTTCCTCGGGCAATATGATCTTCGAGTAATGCGCTGACTTTGGAAACTCAGATACTGCATGGTGGGAACAGCCGAGTATCGCATCCTGGCGACTGCAACCACAAATCTGCCGTCATCCTACACGGACTGCCACGCCCATGCTACCGAGACGTGAGCACCAAAAAGAGCTCACTCAAACAGTCTTAGTCTAACATGTATTTCTCAGGTGGTGCATGAATCCCAACGGTGGCGAGGTCGAGGTTGTCGCGGCCGACGCTGCTGTGACGACGGGAGAGACAACCGCCTCGCCCACTCCAACTGCTGCCACCAGCAGCACGAGCATTACGGCCGTCACGGACTGCCACATGCACGGTACCGAAGTGTAAGTGACTTCGTAAAGTACCACCAAAGCAGGAATAGTTAGCACTAACATTGCGCTCTCCAGCTTCTGCTTGGCCGACGCCACAGAGTACAGAGTCGACACAACCGTGACAGCAACACAGGACCTCCCGCCTGCCTACACTGACTGCCACAGCCACGGCTCAGACACGTAGGCGAGTCCATGGGCTTTTTTATTGACGCACTGTTCTGATGGAAATTGGTCTAAAGATACTGCCTCTCGCCATCGGGAGACGACATTCAGGTCTCTCTTGCCTCAGAAGAAGATGACGGCCATGCCGAAGAGCCCGCCGAAGAGAACTGCCACTTCCATGCCGGAGTCGAGTACGTACACCCCTACGTTACATATGGGCCCCTTGGTGTTCAGGTTGCTTACCGATGAAACCTATATCCAGGCACTGCGTTGGCGCTGGCGAGTCGGAGAGTGGAGGTACTCGCAGCTGCGAGCGGACTGACCGCGAGTACAATGTGCCCCTGAGAGTCGGCCTCTTGTTTGCCATTCTCATCACCAGCTCTATCGGTATGTTCATTGCAAGGAATCCCACAGGATGGAATTTGTTGGCTCACACTTTGGACAGGCGTTTTTGCGCCCATCGTCCTGGCCAAGTACCTGGACACGAGAGCAAACACCCTTCTCCTGGTTGTCAAGCAGTTCGGCACGGGCGTCATCATGTCGACCAGTCTGGTGCATGTGAGTTGTCTACCTCTTCCCTTGGAGCCTTCCACAAGCGATGATCACTGACAGGGACCTAACGCAAACAGCTGTTCACGCACGCCGAGCTCATGTTTGGCAACGAGTGTCTAGGGGGGCTGCAGTACGAGGCCACCACGGCTGCCATCGTCATGGCCGGGCTCTTCCTCTCCTTTCTCGTTGAGTATCTCGGCTACCGCGCCGTCAAGTGGCAGGCCCGCAGGAAGGCAGGCTCGATGATGCCGACGCCTGAAGGCCTCAAGTCGATCGAGATGGTCAGCATCTACGTCATGGAAGCCGGCGTCGTCTTCCACTCGATAAGTGAGTTCATGCACAAACAGATGGCCCGACCGGTGAACTTCCCAGTGGTCTATTCACATGTGCTAACAGCACACAGTCATCGGCGTCACCCTGGTCGTAGCCGGCGACAGCTTCCTGCTGACCCTGTTCGTGGTCATCGTATTCCACCAAATGTTCGAGGGCCTCGCGCTGGGCAGCCGCATCGCAGCGCTGGGGACGGGCCAGGCGAACCCGGTCCTGTCCGTCCTCGGCCACTCGCACGGTCCCAGTCACGGTCACAGCCACGGCTATACTAAGGCTCCGGCGGGAAGCGAAGAGGAGACCATTGCTACTACGAAGCACGATGGCGGCGGACACACCGCGCAGCATGGAGAGAATGGAACGGCGCTGTTCCGCGTATCCATGGCGAAGAAGATCTCGCTCGCCGTCGCCTTTGCGCTGGTCACGCCCCTCGGCATGGCCATTGGCATTGGCGTGCTCGGCGTTTTTAATGGCAACGATCCGGAGACCATTGTGGCCATTGGCACGCTCGACGCCTTCTCGGCGGGCATCCTGCTGTGGGTTGGCGTGGTCGAGATGTGGGCTGCCGACTGGGTGTTTGGGGGCGGCATGACGGAGGCCAGCTCGCTGATTACCTGCTTGGGTCTGGGCGGGTTGGTGTCTGGTATGGTGATCATGAGCGTGCTGGGGAAGTGGGCTTGAAAATAATTCACTACCGCTGGAAGAGATGTCTCCCTTTGCTCCCTGGATAACGTAAGTAACCTGAATAGCCTGTAATGGTAAATAGAGCACTCGGATTGGGCACGGTATGAGGGCGGTTGTTTCAGCACCCAGTCGAGGCTCAAATCTGGCCAAGTCAAGTCGACCATGCCAAGATGCCCAGCAGGCACTGTCCAATGTCGTCCAACGCAGGTTATTGCTGCTAACGAGAACCGTGATGGTCGCCCCGGCCAGCTGGGGCAGCCATCAAGGTACGGCTGCAGGAACGGAATCAAGCGCAGTAACAACTCTATCAGTTGAGGTTCTCATATCTCACCAACTCGTCATATCAGATTAGCTAGCCTCTAGCTACCGAGACGGACACATCATGACCCCTCCGCAGCCAGCACTACGTTCCTAGTGTGTTCAAATTACAAGCAAAGATGACGGCTACCGCAGAGCCCCCAGCAGCTCCCTTCGGCATCCCGCGTCCCAATGGCGCCCTCCTCCACGATATCATCATCGTCGGCGGCGGCCCCTGCTGCCTTTGCGGCTGCCGCCCGTCTGCGAGAGCAGAACCCGGCCGTCATATTTACCGATAAGGAGCAGCAGCGCTTGCACTGGATGAGGCGGCACGGCAAGAAGATGGCGCTGAAGAACACCAAGAACGGGTGAGTATCACAGGCGAGGAGAGACGCCATCCAAACCCAGCCCGGGTATGACATAGTGGTGCTGGACGCTGACTACGACTACTTGATGGGCCGGTGGAACCACCTGTTCAACACGTTGGACATCAAGCATCTGCGGAGTTTGATGTTCTGGCACTGCGACCCAAACGGCTGCGACAGCCTGCTGTCGGGGGCGCATGAGCTGGGGCGAGAGCGGGAGCTGATTGAGATCAAGGGATGCGTAGGCAAGGAGGTCAGCATGCACGTGAAGAAGATGAGGGGGAAGTTCACGCTGAATAAGTGAGTCAACCAACATGGCACAGGACGACTAGTGGACTTACCATGCCCCAGATCTGACTCGCGCATCGCCATCAACGAACGCGGCCGCAAGGACCACTTCAACCCGACCCAAGCCCTGCTCTCCGGGCACAGCAGCCACTTCATCAGCCGATACAACCTCAACACCGGCCTCGTCCACAAAGAACGTGTCCTCGACATCTCGTGCACCCCCGTCCACGGCCTCTTCTCCCCCGATGACAACGAATCCCTCTCCACCGTGCACACAAACAAAGGCACACCCCACGCCCACATCATCATCCTAGCCGTCGGACTAGGTAACCGCCCGTGAATGCCCTCCATCTTAGGCAACCTCAGCACCCCCTGCACCCCATCAAGCAATATCAACACTTGCCCGCAAGGAAACCACGCAATGCACCTCCCCGCCTTCCTCCCCTCTCCTCGCCCACCGCATCCCTTAGCCTAACCGGCACACCAACGTGCTCATCGTTGGCCGCGGCCTCAACCTCGGCCCAGCTCGCCGACCCGGCCCTCCAGCGCGGGGGTCGGCACCGTCTGGCACGTCATGCGCGGTCCTATGCGCGTCAAAGACATTTTGACGTCGACCTCGAGTTGGATAGGCAAGTTTCGCAATGTCGCCAAGGCGCGGTTCTGGCTGGGGGATAGCGACGAGGGGAGGCTTGCTTTGCTTCAGGCAGCGAGGGGCGGGTGGTGGGGGGAGTGTGACGCCTGGTTAGGTATGCAAGGGTTTTTGGAAAATGTCGAAAATCTTCAAGATTCGCTGCGAAATGCTTTTCCATGTTTGGCTATGGGCGTCTTCGTCGAGCTTTGGGACAGACCGTCCATCTATTCGAGCAAAGATGGGGCAATCGATGCTTGGAACTAGGTGGCCGAACAGCCAAAGGAACTTGGCGCCCAATTCGGCTGTGCCTCTGTCCTCACTCGCGGTGTATACAAGGCTAATATGGATAGTTGGCTTTCTCAATGTTCCGGAGATAGAGCAGACGATGCCGGCGACAGACTGTCTAGAAAGAGTCCTGAACGACATCGAGTGTATACTCCTACGGAAATGGTACAGTGATAACTGGATATGGATTGAGGAGCGTCTGCTATAATTCTAGCAGCGGAGCAGTTAACCATAGGGGCCGCGGATGGAGACAAGAGATAGCGTAAAAATCCGAAGATCAACACTGGTATCTCTACCTTAGCCCTCCACAGTCGAAACTCAATGCCATCTCGACTTATCCCTGAATTAGAAGAAGACCAGCTCATTCCAAATGCCCCCTCGATTGAGAAATATAGAGCAGCGCTCGCTCATGCGGTTGGGGAGAAGGGGGTGAGTAAACAGAACCACGTGGCATCCAGGTCTCAGCTCGTTGCGTTTGCAACCAGGCCACAGCGCGTGCCGCCGTCAGCGGGTAGCGCGGAGGACATCCGTCGGCTTCTAGCCCCTGTGCACCCGGGATTTCCTTCAACAGATATAGGCGGTGACTTGAAGTTCTTGATGGGAGGGGGGCGTTCTTATATCGGCACCGTCGGCAAATAATACGAGGTACCACCTTCCGTGAAGCAAAGTCTATCTTGCTCTCGGTTCCCACAAGCGCATTACGCCCTATGTCGGTCTCAATTACAACACCCAAGGGAACCAATTCCGTTGAAGACCGAACGAGCAGCGAACGGCATGTTGCGGCTCATTATTCAAGGAACACGTGCAGCTAGCTTCCCAACACCCCAACCCCCCTTTTTCTTCGCCCCGAATGACGGCCCGTACGGGGTCTCCGCAAACGCTTGACCCCTTGAAGAGCGCCAGAGGCTTGTCGAGACGTGTCCCCTTTGAGGGGGTGGTGATATCGGACAGCGAGGCTCTGCGGCGGCGGAAGGGAGTACTGGCGTCGGTGTGCAACGCAGCTTCCCTCGACGTATCTAGGTGCTCAATCGAGCTGGCGCTGTTGGCTATAGCACTACTAGCCTGTGGCTGCTCGGTGCGGCAGTCAGGCTCGGCGTAGCACTGAAGGTGCTCACCGCAAAGCTGTCCGAGGGGTTGTGCCAGAAGCTGTATAGCGAGCGCTGCTCTACCGTGCAGCACTGGGAAGGTGAGTTCCAGCAGAAGGTGGCTTTTCCTTTGAGAAATCATTCAAATTGTCTAACGTGGTCCACCATCGAGCGGGACACCCCATCGACCGGGACACTTTTCTAGACCACACCACTACAAAC